TTGTTGGGGGGGGGGGCCCCCAGGAAAAGGGGGGCCCCCCCCCCAAGTTTGGTTGGGTTTTTTGACATTCCCCGGGTTTTAGATTGGGGGGGGGGGAACTTCCCCCCCCCTAAACCCGGTTTTGGGGTTTTTTCAAAAAGGGGGGGAAACCCCCCCCCGGTTTTTTAACCCCCCCCCCCCCCCCCCCCCCCCCCGGAACTCCACTTTCCACGACTCGGAGGGGGTTGAAAGATAATGCTTTGGTAGGTGTGGAGAACGAATTGTTGTACTCTTGCGCACACGTCAGCCCCGGTACACCAAATGTAAACGTACACAAGATTGCATCGGAATGGTTGTCTACTCTAGGTGCTTCAGATTCGCTTCGTCTTCGTGGTGAGCGAAACAAAGAGGGTTTACGGTTGATGATCACCCACCGTTCGCGTGAAAAAAAATAGTTGAGACACAAAACACGCCTATTTCCAATCAACACTTCGCGTTTTTTTCAACCACGTTGCCAAAAAACACGAATTAAAGCGTCGTGGTCGCCAGATCACACAACCAACCAACTTGCGGAGCTGATGAAGAAAAATCACAGAAGAAGAGTTTGCAACAAAGAGGCAAAATAACGGAAAGGGATGAATATCCGCCGAGTGTTCTTGGGGAAAAAAAAGCGTTGAAAAAATGAATGAATGCATCACATATTGTGGCGTGTGACGACTTGAAGTGCATCTCTCTCGCCCGCCGCCGCCCTCCCCCCGATCTTCACGACTACGCATCCCGAGGGATTGCAGGCGGTGTGTGTTCGCGATCAACGGCGTTCTACATTTTCAACCCACGGAGAGTGAAGATAGAGGGTGGGTGGGCAAGGAGAAAAAAAATTAGTCTCGTCGTCCCATGGCAAATACAGGATGAGAATGGAGTGGTTATGCATATAAATTGTATTGCTCCCTCGGAAACACCGCTGTGTGCGGAGGAGCATCACCCGAACCGATCGGCGGCGAAGGGTGCATACAGACACAGACAGCTGCACTTTTTCTTTCCCTTTGGAAAGTATTTTTGTACTGATTCTGGGTATCTTTTCTTGACAAAAGCGGGCTTATCACGAATTCGAGACCTCCGGCCTGCCTCACGTTGTCTGCGGCACCATGTTCATCTTCTCTTGAACAATGGCAGTTATAATCGACGCAACAGGGTCTTGGCCACTGGGCATCGAAAGTCATACCAGTCGTGGAAGAGAACTCGTCTCCCTGGATGTCGGGCAAGCAAAAACATCGATGGCTGGCCTTCCCGACACGGCGAATCTGCCGTGCATCCAGCTCAAAAAATCTGCGAATCCACCTCTTGCTTGCTGCTGCCTTCGGAAAAAAAGACAGAAGCCCGGAAAAACACTGTTCGATGGTGGTGATCCGCAGACCTCCTCTCGGCGAGAGAGAGAGAACTACGGCCGTTCTCCACCAACTACAGTACACAACCACAACATTGGTTATGAGCTGATCCGCGATGCGCCGCTGCAGCAACAAGGTCGAAGTAATGCCGCACTAATAGGTAGATGGAGAAGCGAGCTAACGGCATTCCGTGTACCATGGAAACGGTAAAATAATTTGCAGTTGCTTTTGCAGCGCTGACAACGCGCCGCTTGCCACTGCTGCTGCCCCTGTGAATTTTCAACCTTTTCGTTAGCTGCTGCTCGACCGACCGTCTCTGCTGGAACGAACACACAGCAGTCACTTGCGAGCACGAGCGGCGATTCCTGCCTATGAGCTCGTTCGGGCCCTCTATCCCCAAGCGAGCCAACGATATCGCCCATGTCGGATCCGCAAAGCTGCAAACACGTATGCATACTGCTGTAAAGAGCAGAATTTCCTCCCCAGCTGAGAGATCGTACGATAATAACCATAAATACAGAAGGACAAACACAAACATGAAGACTGAAGACACACGCGCGGTCGCACCTTGGATCTCGCCCACTTGAGAATGTCCAGGTGTCCACCGCGCGCCGCCTCGGAACAGGTAGTCTTGTCCCACGGGCACCCGTTCATCCTGGCGAACCGGAGAGTGTCCAGGTCGCCGTACCTGGCCGCGCACGCCGGGGTGGAGGCGTCCCACTCGCACCCGTTGGCGTGCGCCCAGCGCAGCAGCGAGAGGTGTCCCCCCGCCGCCGCCTCGCGGGTGCAAGCTGCGTCCCAGGGACAGCCTTGCTTCCGTGCGTACTTGAGAGCGCCCAGGTGCCCTCCCGCGGCGGCTCTCCTGCAGACGCTCTCGTCCCACACCCAAGGGGTGCTGGCTCCGCCGCCGGCGCCGCCGCCGGTGCCGCCGCCGGTGCCGAGCCTGCTGCTGGCCCACGCTAGGCGAGACGCCGATTCGACCACGTTTCCGAGGCACGTGTTTTTCGGGAGCTGTCCTCCGACCCAAGCCTTGTACCAAGTCGAGGCCACGCCGGCCACGAAGAGGTATCCCTCGTTGTCAGCGACGAAGGGGATGAGGTGCCGGAGGATGTCGTCCTCGTCGATGAGGGGGTTGTTCTCTAAGGTGTCCTGGGCCGACGCCGGCGGCGGCATCGGCGGCATGGTCTCGGAAGCGGGAGCGGCCTTGTTGTTGGACGTCTTGCTCACCATCACGAGTATCTATTTGTGAAACCGAGAGAAACTGCTCGACCCCGCCACCGATATCTCAGTTAAACTTTTCCCTGCTCTCCTTCCTCTCCACGCAAAACTCGTCCCCGGCTTTGCTCCTGTGTGCGGAGGCGATCTCGGCGTTACCTATCTCTGGGCGGGGCGTGCAGCTCGCGCCAGCGTCAGTGTTGATGGGCGGGTGTTGCTGCTTGTGTGTACAGGCATGCCGCCGGAACAACTTAGACTAATACCTACCATTCCTGATGAGACATGATGGATGAGATGGCTTTTTTTTTTTTCCGTTTGCGTAAAACCGTCACTTGATGTTTTCATCGATCTGTCCCGACTAAACAACTTTTTTCATCTTGCTGTTCTCGACCGTACTTGGCGCGCGAGGCCGCTGCCCCCGGTATATGTATCGTAGCCAGGCATACAGCAGTGATCGGTTGTGTGTTTGTTGGTCTTGTGGAGTGCACGCGGGCAAGGGGTCGAACCTGCCACCCGGGCCACGATGTGCGTACGCATCTACATGTACAGCCATCGGGAGATTGATGTTTTTGCGTACCACCTCCCTATATCCTCCATGCGTAAACTCTGTGTATTCTACAATCCTTGACGATTCTACCACTCGGCTGTCACGCAGAACACATGTATGTGTTGTCGGACCCACACCAGCCCCGCGCGGGGTCGCACAGCAGTCGAAGCACTGCTGTTGCTGGAGCTTATTAATGTTTTCTTTTCGCAGAACGAGTCGCAGCAGCACCACCTACTCACAACGCGAATGAATTTCCCTCGTACTAAATGTACGGCTACAATACACAGACGCCAGTAATTTTGCTGCACGACAAAAGAAAGTTGGCACACGTGGCACTTCATGACCCTGTGGGGCGTACCACATGTATATGCGGGCAACAATGAAGACGATCGACGGTCCGCTGTGTGACCCCTTCGTCTCATCCTGTCTTCTGCGTGTTTCGACTCCATGCAGCAGGCCAGAGGCCGAACCACAACAATCCACCAGAGCCATCCTGTCATCATGATCATTATTATACTGTAGTAGTATCATAGTATCATCATCAACTTAGCGATGCAAAGCCCCCCCCCTGGTATACCTACCACGTTGCAGTTGACTATGCACAGTATTTGTTCGGATCAACCATGCAGACTTGTTGTTGTTGTTGTTGTTGTTGTTGTCTTCACATTAAAAACCGTTCCGATCTCTCTCTACACAGTACCTTCACATGCCGTGCTGATCCAACACTCGACGCGGTCGATTCCCGTGGTCACAACTTAACTTACCCTAAAAAGGTATCCTCAACTAAACTGGCCCCGAGGGGTCCGCGGTATCAATAGAAATCAACGACAGATATTCTGGAGTCCTCTCCACTCTCTCTGCGCGCTATGCGAGGTATCAACTGAGACTAGGAGTCACTATCACGGGCCGGAGAGAAAGAGGTACACCCCCTTCATATCGACCTAAAGAGTCCGGCCACACATGGGGCAGAGAAACCGGTAGGTCACAGCAAAATACCAAGACCGCAATCTTCTTCGGCAACAACGTATGTATGTATCATGTGTGGTGGACCGTGTAGTAGCCTCTACACGATGTATGCGCTTCGTCTTCTTCGAATGAGTTTCTTGTCAAACCAAACTTGTGGACCGCGACAAAATGTCAGCCAGCAAATAACGCGCGTTCCCCAATATGAAACGTACACCGGCCGGCACACCTATTTTGCTGTGTACAATTGTAACGATGATGCGCCAGAGCTAAGAGAGACATCGAGTTTGTCAAACAAATCGCTGGGACAGCATTTATTTTTGTGGGTGCCCAAGCAGCGACAATCGCCATCATCAAACCCGTGTTGTGGCTCGAGCTACAGTTAGTAAATACAGTAATTAGTGGTGCCGCCGGCACATGTGTGCCCGGAGATCTTGCCGGCACGACATATATGCATACTGCTGTACTGCTGTACATTTCAATATTTACCGGACATATTTACCGGACACCGGCACTACCAGTCAACGTACAGACGACTTCGTACAAGTCCATAAAAAAAATGAAAGAACCTCAAACTTTGACAACTAACTCTCTTTTCACACAGGCATGCATGTTGGCTCTCTCTCTTCGCAGAATGTACAACATAACTTCCTAATAAACCGAGGTTCGACTGCTGTGTTTCAGTGTGTACGAGCCGAAAACACCGGCACCATACCGGGCGCCCGGCACGATTCGATCGGCATGATCGAGAATCTATTGTTGGCGTATCTATCGGGCGCGTGTAGATCCAGTCCCCGCGCGAGTAACTCGGGCTGCCTCCTACGTACGTACGTGGACAACAGCGCAGAAGACGGGGTAGAGCAGCACCGCTACGGCCTGCCTGTATCTGTCCGTGTTGCTTCCACCACGAAGCAAGCCAACTACAACAACAGAAACAACGAGTCTGCCCCCACAGCAAGCCGGTGTAATCCGGCCGAAACCGATGGCCCCCGAGTACATACAATTGTACGATGCAGCAAGACAAAATAACCATAATCCACAAGCAGTCTCCGGGGAGCCAACTCAGTAGCACTGCTCCAAGTATGGGAAACGCTACTTGAGCCCAAAAATCTAACACCCGTCATAACCAAGACGCTCCAGTCAACCATGTCTTGAGCGGGTCGACCAGAACCCTTGGTGTCCATCTCTGTAGGCGTATCGGAAGCACATCCGGACCCCGAAAATATATCTGCCAAGGAAGCGAAACAAGAGCACAAACACGAGTCAAAGACAGGGGAAGTGATCGGAATAGGCAAGATCCTGAAAAACTAGTGGAAGGCGGGTGATGATGCGGATGCGTTACATACATGTATACGCGAACAAAGTGTCAGTCATCTCTCCTGACCATCTTGTGGCACATACCCTTCAGAAGATGGTTCCTTAGGCTAGCAGCCCCCTTTGCTCAGTGTTATCGGGCAGGACAATGTCCCCACTATACAATGTACGCACACGACTATGCCGCGTCCCGCTAGATTTGTCCTCTGTAGAAAGCGCGTTGGATCGTTCATGGAGGGCTTGAGTGCCACTGCCGCTACGCCAAGGCCGGACGCTGCCACTTGATCTCGCCAGCACCCGCCATGCCGGGACGACCGTCGGAAGGCAAAACCAAACTAAACAAAGCTACTGGTATGTACGATCGTACGCCCACACCACCGAGCACAATGCGCCATTTCGCACCACATGAAGCTGGTAGCATCCGAACAGCGTCCATAGTTGCGGGACCACGGTCTACTCGCATACACGGCGCATGCCCACCTACCTCCATCCACACGAACTCCATCCACCGCCGAGCACAGAGGAAAGAAAGAGCACAAAAAGCCAACCCAAAGGGAGGGTGACTGCGCATCGTTGTTGCACGTGACTGATGCCGAAAAAAAACGTGTGTGAGATGTGTTGGTCTGTGGGGCAATCTCCCGTGGGTTGCCGAACTTCAAATGCACAGACGAATTGGTGGCTTTCCGTCGGACGAGGGTCGATTCAAAGTGTCACATGCATAGACATCGTGTCAGTACCGCACAGAGGCCATGTACGCGTTTGGTGTGTGCTTCTCGGGAGCGATAGCTCCCCATGTGGTGTGGCCACGTCATAACAGTACGTCACAACAGCAATCTGGCAGTTGGCAAGCGGCGGACCTCTCGGGTTGTTCGCGGTGGACTGCAGAGATTTGTTTCCATGTGGCAGATCTCACAGGCCATTTCTGTCCGGATTCGGGTAGATCCGACTCTTTTATTCTTATATCGAAATGTGATTTCGAGATCTGATTTCTCCGTTAAGACCGACCCTTATACATACATCGCCTGCACACAAGGACTGCGGAGGGTAAACAAACCATGCACCACCTTCCCCCAGTGTGGAAAGGGGAAAACAATCAACACAATCAATCATCCAAATACCTTCTCCAGGCATCCACCATCTCCGTTTCCCCTGCCTCCGACTCTGGCGGGCATGCCTTGGCGAACCCCTGCACGAGAGACTCCAGAACGGAAACCGTGTCCTTCAATCCGAGACCAGCATCTCTGAGGGGGTTACCGACCTATCTCGGAGATTGATTGCGGGAGAGCAAGCAAGGAAGGCGTGGGGGGTGACAAGGTATTTCGGGCGAGCAAGGAGATATCAAAAGACCGGTCCTACTGGGCCAGGACGGAGCACGCCGGGTTACTTGGGGGGGACGTACTCTGTTTTGCATTCCGGTAAATTGGAGGGGGGGACGCTGATGCCAGTTGGAGTTTCAAAAACGATAGCATCGATTCGTTGTGGAACACGCCCTTTCCTGCATGGCGTCTAAGTTGTGCCATTGCACTGTTACCCGACTGGCGGGCGGGCGCTCTAAACGCATCCGAGTTTCGTGGCTCCCGTGGGGGGTCAGCGGGCTGCTGCAATGAACGAGTATCGGCACCAATTCTGAGTGTTGCTTTCTTCGCTCGGACAGGTTGTCTTCCACCACAACAACCACGAAAAGGTGAAATGCTGAGGTGGCCGCTACAAAGGGTATGGTCACGACCACCCAAAGCCTGTCGAGGTCGATGCCCAGCTGAAAAACCATGCATGTTGAAATGTGGGCTGTCAGTCAGGACTAGACTAGACATATGGGACACTACATCCTCGCATTTGTGAGTTCCAACAACAGCAGGGCGTGTAAGCGTCCGTGCCGGAGCAAGGGAGGAATCGTGCCGCACCTTCTCGATGAGATCTTCGAACACGTCGCGGTATTCTTTGGACATGGACAGCCCGGAACCGATCGATGCCAAAGCTAGATATTGTTCCCACGAGGTTGAACACAACACACAATCACAAAAAAACAAGAGAAGAAAAAAAGCACATGGATTTCAGAAGGAAAGTCATTCTCCGGTCAGGTCGGGGTCACGAATCACGAATCATTGCGTAGGAAACACTGCTGTAATGGCGGCAAAGGCCATCCGGCACATGGACATGAACAGACGGGTCCTGCGAATGAACTAGAAGATTTCCAAACGCGAGGAGGTAGACCTACAGGTGATCGGCGGAAACGCCTACGGAAGCCCCCACAACGGACTTACTAGCCTGCCGGAAGCAGCAGGAAACACCCGTGGAACGATTGCACGCGCTCCACAACGTACGCCTCCCTCTGCTTTAGCGAATCGAGAATATATGTATAACTACTCCTTTTATTCATGCGACGACAAGCAGGGGATATGAACCGAGAATTAGCACGCTTGCTTGGAGGTGAAAGAGAGACCGGAGGAGCAAAAGGGGTAGAACAACCGTTTTGTAACCCCCACGCAGAGTTAAACAGTGGAGTGTTGTGTAAATATTTCCAACTCACGCAACGCATGGCATGTATCGCCCCGCACCTACTAAAGCGGCAGTTTCTTGGCTGTGTGGCAGTGATGTCGCTCTCTGCCGTGGAACACATGCGCACCGACGTACCTTTGACCAAAGGCCTGAAGCTCTGGGAGACGGCTTCGACAGTCGGTGGCAGCAAGCCCGCTTCTTGCAGGTCTGCCATGGCGTGCTGCCGGAGGTCGTCGAAAAGGTTGCTCCTGTAGTCCCCGAACAGCTGCCAAAGGAAGGCAACAAACGAGGAATTCGTGGTGCAGAGGAATAGAGGTACCAAGAAACCGGAGGGTTGTTACTATTCCAGATACGTTAGAGGGGAAAACACCAAACAATAGCGCAAGAGTACACAGCCTATTACAGATGTTTACAAGCGTGGATAGGCGTCAGGACGATTTCTCGCCCATCTTTTTCACCCAAAATTATCAGCAGCAAACAACAAACACAAACCTGCGTCTTGATGACTCTCAAGAGGCGAATCCACTTCTTGTCGAACTCCAGGCCGACCACCGTCAGGAGCCCCTGCTCCATTTCATTTTGCCAGCCTTCTCTTCTCGCCGCATCCTTGTCCGCCGGGTCGCCCACCCCCGCCTGGGTGTTTGCCCGCTTCGACTGAGCCTCCTGTTTGCAGAAAGATCCAACAGTATTTGCTTTGAGAGTTTTCGTCCCGTCTGTTCTGGGCGCAAACCAGCGACACAGATCGGTCCGCACCAACTCTCTCTGACGTGTGGTCAGGTGAAGACGTTCGCCCCTCTTCGACTGCCAGCACTACCACGATCTCTCAAGATTTTACCAGACGACCGAGGCAACACGACCAGCGGTCGCCTCCCGATGCTCGAACAGCGAGGCTTCTGGCCTGTCCTCTCTCTCCCCAGCTATTGCGCTCTGCATACCCATCGAGATGCCGTCGCGCCACACCGCCTCGCTCACTCTTTTCATTTGCGACATCAACAGGCTTAACCCCCCCTTGAATGCGATACATACACGCCACCGAACCGTTCGTGCTCCGTTCGTGCTCACCACGTCCAGTAGGCTTAGCCCCATTCTCTTCTTTGTTGATGTCCTTCCGCATGCTTCTTTTTCCCGCAAGCATCTGCTCATCTTTTTGGCCAACTTAGTGTTCTTGGAGGCGATTTATGCTAAGAGATAGGGTTATACTTCTGTCTTTCTCTCGGTTTACGCTAGCGTCGGCGAGCTAATTCTCTGGACATGTTCTTCAGCACCGTCTGCATTCTATCTCAATGGCGTACAGCAGAATCGGCCGTCGGGCTTTCGTCGAGGAGGCTGTCATAACCGCGAGGTTAAAACGAAACCGACAGCTGTCAATTCCCGTGACCTCGTAGTGAGCTACAAGGATGTGTGGGGAGGGGGGTCCTACTTCTCTCCCATGTGATTGTTCTCACGGTTTTCCGCGACTCGCCTCATACGCCCCGAGGTACTTTCCATCCCCAACCCAGTAGTTGAGCATCCCCATCGCGCTCCAGCAGAGGTCGTACGCCGTCATGTGCGCCGTCAGTCGCTTAGCCCTCTGGACCTAGCACAAGGAGAGCAGCAGCAGCAGCAGCAGCAGCAACAACAACAACAATCTGTGTTGCGAAAACGAGCAATGGCCACAAGTTGAACAACAGTCAACAATGATACACACAACCAACGTCGCGCTGTCGAGAAGCAAAAACATATATTCATATTTCGTGAAAAGGCGGCAATACCCACAACCCTAAAATAGCGACGGGCATGAAAACGAAAAAGAGACGTGAAACCAGCTCCAAGAAGTTGTGCTTTCGGCAGCCAGTTATCTGGTCATCGTCCGGTCGCCACCTCCGAATACCCGCAGCACTCTCCAAACGATCTGTTGAGAAGTTGCCGCGATTTCGTGGTAGTGACGGTTAACACAGTAGAAGCCACAGCGGGCCATAAGCAGTTGGAGTGTGATGGCGACCGTAGGTGGCAGCGCAAGTAGTAGTGCCACTAGCAGCATCACCAGGAGATTGGTTCTCTGCGGCCACAACCCTTTCCTCTCTCGGTGGTCACGCCCTACTCTTCCCCGATGCTACATAACTGGTATGTTTTTCGTGTGGCCGTCTCCGCCTTCCATGCACCTTGGAGCTCATCATCTCGCCCGCCAAACTGCTGTCTCCAATTTCAAGCTCAAGCAACAGGCGTCCAATCGCTGTAAGAGGACGCGTTTTTCGGGCGTAACGGCACAAGCCTTGATCCCGACGGCGAGTGCGAGGGCGGGGCTCACATGAAACCGGACGTGGAGGAGAAACGCGACGGCCGTGTACTTGGCCGACAGCCGAAGCGGGAGGCCTAGCTTGTCCTGGACTTCTTTGGCCACGGAGAGGTGCTGGAGGATGACGCTGTCCTCCAGATTGCCCAGCAACCTGGGCGCGCGTAGAAAGATGGAACGCCACAAACACTCTTGCGTTGTTGGATTGGGTCTGAACGCTAGAGGACGTGTTGGTACATCATCGGCTTCTCACCATCGCAAACAAAGGAAAAGACACAGGCTCCTTGAGGCTGCTGTGTTGCTTGGTCTCACCTCTTTGTGTATTATCACAAACAGTCATTTTCATTACAACACGCGAGTGTCCGAAATACATGAAGATGGAACAATGCCTCATAACATATTCCCAGGGCAAGGCGCGAAATATTGACGCGGCGCCGAGCTCCCCCCGGTCATACCTCTGGATGTTGTCGTACTGGCGGTGGCAGCTCCGAAGAGGCACGTGCGTGAGCTCGCTGACGTCATCGAGGTCCTTCCGGGTCTTGGAGGTGACCTTCTTGCCTAGGATCTCCCGCAGCACCGAGTCATCCAGCTCGTGGTACCGCTCCACCATCCAAGCCTGCGGGAAGCAAACGGCACACCACCGGTTGGTTTCATCCGTCAGGACACCGTAAGGACGCTGTGTACACAAAAAACAAACGAATTACTACTGTGTGGAAGGCAAGCGTGGGGTGAACCCCCTGTACGCCTGAATACTATTGTTTGACATCCCGCTGTTTGAGGGAAACACTGGTTGGGTGCGGTATACTTCTAATTTCTAAGAATAGTTTCGCGCCGTGGGTGTGAGGGAGAAACATCGTTCCAGGCGCGACAACTCTTTTCCATGTGCATTTCACGTTCGGCTTTTCCTTCCGTTCTGTGGCATAGCATGGCAAAGCGGAGCGGGGACAAACAACACAAGGCGCTTGAGCGGTGGCGATGCCGACGCCATGCCGACGCCATGCAGAAGCAACAAGGCGACACTATAGTGACGCTTCAACACGCCACGTGGTCATGCAAACTTGCAACACCCAAGCGGCCGTGACACAGCACCAGACATGTCTTCACCAAAAGCGTCAACAACGAAGGGGCACTGGCGAAAAACAGGGAGTGATTGGAATCACCAACTGGACACAAAACTACATACAACAAACGCTCGGAGTGATGTTTCGTTTCCGTCCGGTCTACAACAGGGGGGCTTGCCTGAGTGGTTTCACCAAGCTGAACCTGCAGCTGCCCCCTGAGATGCTCGGGCTGTCTCAGGAAGTGCTCCATCGTGTCGAAGACGCGGTAAGCGTCGGCCGTGTCTTTCCCGAACAGGGTTTCCAGCTGACGTCGCTGGCTGAGCGCCTCATCCTAGAGCACGCGGGGAGTAGTGTGGGGAGCGTGGCGGTGTGGATAGTCTAAACGTTTTCTCTGCCGTGGAATATTAGGCCAGAGGAAAATTCACTGCAGAGGCAGAGGGCTGGTAGACGGAAGGCGGACTTTCCACCAACTAACGAAGCGAATAAAAACTTGAGAAGAGAACACCACTCCCACACGTGGGCGCAGAACACCACCACCACCACCACCACTGTACTACCGCCGCCGCCACCGCCACCACCACCACCACCACCACCACCAACAATCTCACGGTGCACAGCATGTTCGGTAGAAGGGTGTCCGCGGCACCAGCCCTTGGCAACAAACCTGCGTGGTCTCCTCGGCGGTGGAGCCCCTTCTCCGGAACGATAGCTGGACCCTTGACATCGCGGGAAGATTGCCAATCCGGGCATTGCTTGCCGAGACCTGGAGCAAAGAGCAAAAATACCGCAGCAGCATAGTCGTATTCACGCATAGGAAATCAAGGTGGGCAAATATCAGCCGATGTAATCCTTCTTCAAGAGTATCGTGCTCCTGCTGTTCAACGGAAGTTCATTACAGGCAGGCATTCAGCAGTAAGTTGCAGTGACCAAAGGGTGTTCAACTACGCAGCCGTGCGCATGATGCGGGAAAGGAGCGGCCGACTATATCGTAGGGAGCGAATCCGACTGTTCAATCTTTATCGATGCATCAGAGGCAGAAAAGCATCGACATCCGCCGTGAAACGCTTGCGTGGCAGATAGAGACCAGGGCTCGGCATGCACTGCCCAGCACGCACTGCGCATGTAGCGGTGTCTGCATACAAGCAGTGTTGCGGGTACAAGACCTCCGCGTAAATAGTACCTGATGTACTGCAGGCAGAGTTGCACTCTTTTTTTTTGCTTACCTCCTTCTCGAAGTCGGCGAGGCGTCGCGACACCACCTCGTGCACCGACAGCCCCCTTACCCACGATACGAACATGGAGCGGTCGGACTCCGTGTCCAGCGTCACGGGCTCGCAAACCACGACGTCGAACAGCGACTGCATTCCGCCGCAGATCCTTTAATTGCGCCGCTTGTTTCCCGCTTCTTTGCTGTCTTCAGTGAGAGGTGTGCAGCGATGCTTTCGACCGGTGGGTAGCACCGGAGTACCAAGGAGCACGCAGCGCATTTGACGCGTCCCCCCTCCCTCTCATGTGCTGCAAACACCAGCGACGCTCTGTGGTCTCTCTGCTGGACTTGTCCCGGGGGCGGCTTCCCGACTTGAAGTACGCGAGAAGTGGAACTCCCTTTGCATATCACGGGGCCCCTTGGAGCTAGTCCGCACTGCTTAGTGCAGTGCACAGCACTGGTCACTCAGCACTGCTGGTCGCAGGCAGGGTAGTGCCCCGACTGTCGAAGCTGCATGTGATGGTGCGTGCAACGGTGCGGTTGGTGAAGACCAAGAACTGCTTTGTCAACATCCCGGCTCATGTGGCAAGAGGCCTGGACGGAGCATCGGAGGTGAGGATTGCAGACAGCAGCAACTTACCTATGCTGTACCTGCTCTAACTACTGTTGTGGAGGCTGCCGTGCAGCGTGGCGTAGCAAGGAGGAGGAGAGGAAATCCCAGTCGTTTGCCCCTGTCATGCATTTTTTCTTGTTTGTCCCATAGGGCAATGCGCCCTTTGTGAAACCACCTCTAATCTACTAAGTACCACGTTGGAGCGGAAGCCTTTTTCCCCACATGCACTCTCGATCTTTCCACGTGTGGATGGATCAGCAGCTCAGGAGGCACGACCACGGATGATCAAAACTTGATCTCTCGACAACGATCCGGTCAGGTTGGACGCATCTCATGCTCTGCAAATCATTCACGTTGTTCTGGATGCAGGCAAAGTCCTTTGCGTAAGTAAGTTTTGTGCCGTGGAAGCACTACCACCGATGCACAACAGGGTTGTTATCTTGACCCTTTCAGCTTCAGGCCGGGCGTGCGCGTCCCCACCAAACAACGGCTGCCGCCGAGTGCCATACCAGCGCTGCTGGTTCTGCCTGTGGCGAAATCTGCTGCAATAATCCTGGCCGGTCTATCTAATAGCGCATGGACTAATTCCGCCAATTGATCACATAGGGAGCGGTTATCCTGCGGTTATCTTGGGATGGAGCAGTGGCAGAGGCGGCGGCTACGACCACCCCATCGTGGGCATTCGCTTCTTGGAATGGGGGGATCAGCGACGCGCAAAGGTCTGGTCGCTGTCCTGCGAGCGTTTGTTCTGGGAGCGTATTCAGATGTCTTTTACAAACTGACCAGTATCTGCAAGAGCGCTGTGTCTAGCGGTTTGGTCCCTGCCATTTTGATCTGCTAACGGCCATAAAAGTGCGGCTCGGGAAACGGTTGACGTCGCAGTCTCACCCCTTGGAGCGCATTTGACTCTCCCACCCCCCCGTTTACAAATCCCCCCATATTGACGGTGTAGGGCGCCAGAACAATGGTGCTTCTTTGCTCTCACGTTGTCACGGTATGCTGTGTGGTGCGAATTCTTTCATCTGGAACATGTGACGGTGTGGAGCGGTGCGGTTCACCGTCGAAACATACCACACCGCGAGTATTCCAACTAAACCCGCGCCCCCTCTACCCGCGGGACACAAACATGGATGTATTTTTGGCTCGACTCGAGCAGTGGCGCTATCGAGGTCCCCCTCGCGCTGGCGCAAGTCTTGGGGCTGGCCGCGGCTCTCGACGCGGACTCCTACCTGTCGGTAGCGGCGGAGCCCGCGGGCTACGTCCCCACCGCCTCCCGCGTGTGCCTTGAGCCGCTCTCTTGCGACGACTGGGAGATCCTGGAGGCCAACGCGGAGCACTTGGAGGGCCACATGCTAACACAGGTGCGTGGTATTGTGACTGGCGGGTGGAACTGATTTTTCCTTGTTCGATAGGGTGCTGTTAGTCTCGTCTGTGGATTGCTCGCTGCACAGAGCGGGCCTTTTCTATTGTTGGGGGATTCATCGCTGATATTCTCCGGTGGCCGTAAATGAGGAGGGTGATTATGCTTAGTCTTTCGTGGTATGATTCCATAATTTTTGTCAGACGCAGGTCTGCTCGACTGAGCGTGTGACATTTTGACAAACAAACCTGCTAACAATACGTCAAGTATCCTAAGTTTTCGCGACTATATCGTTGTACAGGGTGTGGAAGTACCGCAGTATTTACCACTCAACAACGGTATGCAAACTCACCCCCCACCCCTTGACCAAAACCCGGCTGCCGCGATTTTTCCATTGTAATCCCAGGTGTGCGTAGCCTACACCGGCCAGGTTATGCCCATCTGGGTCCACAACACTTCGCTCATCAGCCTCCAAGTCGTGTCCGTCGAGACTCCGGGCGGCGCACCCGCTGCTGGCTGTGTGAGACTCACCGCCGATACGGAGGTGGCCGTCTCGCCGAAACCTCGACGTCGAAGGCGTTCGCGGGAAGGGGAACCAAGTAAGCCCCCCCCCGCCTCCCCGATGTCTATCATGTGAATCGCCCTAAATGGTACCAGTTAGTTTCGAGGCGCTTGGCGTGCCGCGACGTTGTCTACGGTTGACGTACAATCTTCACCGAAAATTCTGTACCACGGAAAGGTCCCGCCAACTTTGGACGGTGTCGGGTGAGGCCGCCTCGTCATCACGGAATGCCCCGGGCGCCAGAAAAATGTGCCCCTGCGGGGTAAAACGTCCAGCCGTAAAAACAAATCCCTGGCGATTGTCTTGATAACTTTCTGTCTGTTTCTCCCTGGCTCTGCTGGTCCGCCTACCTGTCAATTTGTCGGTCTCGTGATGATATACGCAGGACGACAGCGGTTTCGCTCGAGCGGGCTCCTAAGGGTAGCCCCTCCCCCCCCCGGCTGGAAGCTAGAAGAAACAGCATTGGCGCGTAACAGTGGTGGCAGTGGCTGTGGCCGGCCGTACGTTCTCGCGCACCCCGCCACACTGACGGAAATCGACGGGTGGAACAGCAGGTAAATGCTTTTTTTTTTTGTGGAAACGGTTTCGCCATCGGGTGAAGTCAGACTTTCTTGGATTTCTGTCCTGACGTTTTGTAGAGACACAAGCATGCCGGCGCACGCGTGTCGCGTTTTTTTTCAACGGGTGAACATTACGTTATATGCATATGATGAATGTTTCCTCAATCGCGCATCCCCCGTCCCCCGTGCTTAGTCTCCGACACATGCACACGCTGACGAATGGCGTGGCCTCCCCCCCCGCCCGCTTGCTTAGTCCAAGCTCCCGAGCCCCTTGGCCTTCCCCCACCTTCGGCGACGTCGGTTCTGCGGTGCCTCCTCCGACGACCTCCCCCCCCAACGAAGCACTGGCCGTCCTCTGGCGGGACGGTTCGTCATCGCCCGGACCGGGGAACGGCAGGGGGGCCGGTGTTGGGCAGGGAGGAGGGGGGGGTGGGGGGCCAGGAGGAGAGCGACACCACGAGACACTCGATGGCAACGGTGGAGCGGCGGCATTGCGTCTTGGAGGCGGCGGTGGCGATTCAACAGCGGCGGCGGCGGGTGCCAGAGGCTCTTGCGGCGGAAGCACCGGCGGCGGGATGGTGGTTGTCCTGCGGGAGGATGCTCGGGTTCCTCCCGGTCACGTCGCGGAGGCGGTGCGGGACGGGGGGAGATCGGGGCTGCTGTTTGGGAGGACCGGGCTGGCTTTGCTACGGCGCGTTGCGAGAGTCAGGGTCCTCTCCGTCGCAGAAGGTGCCACCGTGCTGCCGAGGTCAGTTTGGTACTCAAACAGGAAGGGTCAGATTAGATACTTTGGGGGGTAACGAGGCGTGACTGAGCGTTTGGCTGCAGCAGCGAGCTTGGGTCTTGCAGCTTGTACTTGTGCATGATGGCATGCATGCGTGTGTGCTTCATTGGTGAACGATACTCGTGTGTGTTGTTTACGCCACAAATTGTTTTTCTGCTTTCTATCCCCGTCCCCTCCAAGTGCCGTTTCACCTCAAACGTCTCTTGTTCTGCCGCCTTCTGCGTCACATTCTACCGCCCCAGCCTCGTGTTTAGCAGGGTTGTTGCTCCAAATGGCAGAACGAGTACCGGTTCCAAGGGCGTCACTGCCCGAACCGTCGGCAACTACCCCGCACCAACGTCGGCGCCGGGGTGTGTAGAGGCGGCAGCAGCCTCACGCGAGACGCTGCGGCAGATGCTTTCGTACGCGTGGAGAGGAGGGGAACCTGATACTGGGGTTGTTTGCCGCTCGCGTGGGGTGCCCAGTGGAGGCGCCGGTGGAGCGTTGTCGGCCCCCGGCGGCTTGTTGTCACGGCATGGGGGCGGTGTGGAGCCAGGGAGCGCTGGTGAGTCCCATAGAGATATTCAACAACAACAACAGCAGCAGCATCAACGGCAGCAGCAGCAGCAGCAGCACCACCAGCAGCAGCAGCAACAACAACAATTGGTACCGACATCGGGATCGGGATTGCGGCAGCTTGCGTCGTCGTTCGTCCCGCTCGTGCTCGACGAAGGCGCCGTAGTCTCCCTGCCGTCACCTCCGCCTCCGCCACCCATGACAGCGGCGCCAACAGGAAACCCCGACAGCGGCAACAACAACTCGGCCACGCGGCGGTGTGCCCCCGTCGATCTGACGGCCGACTTCGTGGTAGGATTTTCGTCCAAAAACACGCCGGCGGCGGCGGCGGGGTTTCCACTCCCGACGGAGGAGTCGTCGGTGACGGGGTCCGGCCAAGAGGAGGAGGCGGCGGGGGCGTTGCGGTACGTCGTGCTCGCCTGCCAGGAGGACGTAGACCGCGCCGTGGGGGAAGCGCTCGTAGGGCCCGATGTTGCTCCTCCTCCGGGTTGGCACGAGACGACGGCGGTGGGGGAGGGAGGCGACGGAGTGCTTGGAGGCGTCGAAGAGCAGGTAAATGGGGAGTGGAAAGCGTTAGGTGACGGAAGGCGCGAGGTTGGGTGCTCGTGAGACAGTCGATTCCCGTTTCGGGAATCAAGTAGTTGCCGTTCTCATTCTCGACGTGTCGATCTGAGCTTGGCACAGCCCCGCTGCATGGATGGTGTTTGCGGAGTTGTTGGAGTATCGTGCGAACTATTTGAGTTGGTGTCAACACGACGGAATAACACGTGCTGCGTTCCGCGCTTGATTCGACCCCCACCTCCTCCCTCCAATTCTGCCCCTACCTTCTCCGGTGTGCGTCTGCCGTCGATGCAGATGCGGGCAGTATCCAACCTCCTCGCCCCCGTCCTTGTTAGACCAGTGGCCGCCGCCCGCGGCCGACTGGGGGTTTCCGCACCGGCCGGCGGCGTCGTCCTTCACGGGGCTGCGGGGGCGGGAAAGACGGCGCTGGCGCTCGCAATGGCCCGGAGATTGCGGTAAGATTTGGTCGCGTCGCCCACTTGTTTACGTGCCGTTCACACGGCGGTGTTTTTTGTTGGATGCGCCCGGGGTTTTGGGAAGGGGTCGTTATTGGTCGCATCGGTTGGAGATAGCGGTGGAACGGGGGTGCAGTCGAACACGTTGTGAGTTGTGAGTTTTTTTGTGCTAGTGCACGTGTTTGTTGGGGTCGACGCCGCAAGACAATGGAGCTTCACACGGAGTCAATTGTATAGGCGCGAGAGGCTTTGTCTCTTCTGCAGTCACGGGGGCTTTCGTGACTTGGCGTGGGTATGTTCGCGTCCGTACGAACCTCGCCCCCCCCCCCCCCCCCCCCCCCCCCCCCAAAAAAAAAAAAAAAAAAAAAACCTTTTTTTTCCCTTCCAATAACCCCCCTTTTTTTTTCCCTCCTCCCCCCCCCCAACCCCTAATTTTTTTTTTTCCCCCCCCCAAAAAAAAAAAAACTCCAAAAATTTCCCATTTTTTCTCACACAAAATTTTT